GTGTGTGTGTGTGGTGTGTGTGTGTGTGTGTGTGTGTGTGTGTGTGTGTGTGTGTGTGTGTGTGTGTGTGTGTGTGTGTGTGTGATATTAAAGAATTAGACAGCTAAAGCAGAAAGGAACTGCAAGTGGGATGGGCCAATAGGATTAAAGTTGAGTTTGGTGATGGTAGAGAGAAGCAGAGAATCCTAAATGGATACTTTTATTTTGAGTACAGGTCCAATCCCTGGGTATAGAAAAGGACAGAATGAGATAGAAAAGTAAGTGGGACAAAGGGCAAACTTGTTGTTTGGATAACTAGAACTAGGTGAGTGACAAGCCATTTAATGTACTATTCATTTCTATCCAAATCTAGGAACAGAGGGGTTCCAGTCCATCTGGATATTTTCCACAGTTTTTCATCCATCCCTACTTGAATCCCAGCGGCCAAGCTGCAGCCATGTATGCTTTGCGCCGAAGAAACATTTCTAGTCAAATAGATTTTCAAGCCACAAAGTGCTAATAAAATTTCTGGGGAATCAGGATTAGTGTTCCTTGGAGTGTATGGAGAACTCATTAGCACAAGCTCTCTGGAGAGCTCCATGGACTAGTCCGGAATAAAGCTCGGAAATAAATGCATGTAGGCCAGACAAGTTTCTGTTGAATAGTTCAGAGTGAGGCAAATCTTAGATATGCAGTACAAACAAGGCACATGTGCTTATGTAGTGAGAAGGGGATGTGTACCATTAAATGGAAACAAAAAAAAGAGTGATAAATGGATTGTCACAAAATCTGTATTTACCTATGGAATTACATTCATTGCTGTGTAGTTTTATAAAGCTACAATAACACCTGAAAATCTTCTCTTTATAGTATCACAATTTACAGTAACTTAAGAACTGTTTGCCCAATCACCAAATTTAAATGTTTGGACTATTGGGCTAATGTAGAACATTTTAAAAATGTTGATCCACATAGCACTTACAAAGTTACAGCTTCAACTGACATAAGTTAACATAGAATACTTAAACTTTGGTGGATCTATGTGGAAAACTGAGTGGAAGCCAGGTTTTCAAAAGTCATTTCTTAGTTCACATACCTCAGTATTTGCAATTGACCTGCTTGCAAAATCCAAGCTTTGAGGTACTTAGAATTGCACATGGGAAAAAAAGTAGAAATGTTAAGGCCACTTTGAACATTTAGCCCTGGATTTCAAGAATCCACACATCGTGCAATTATCAGAACTCAAATCAATTTTCACCCTACTTCCCCCAACTAATGCATACTCTATAGGACAGACACTTTCAGTGTCAATAATAGTAATACCGACCAAAACATGGGCATCAAAAACTCGTAAATCCATACACTTAGGCACTCAAAAAAACCCCCCAAAAACAAACAAACAAAAAAAAAGGACCAGATTTTCAAAGGTGTTGAGGACCTGCAGCTTCTATTGAGTTCAGTGGGATTTGCAAGTATTGGTGCACCTCTGAAAATGCCTAAATATGGATTTAGGATCCTAACTTTAGACACAAACATTTGAAAATTTTTGTCCTTGTGGTTACACAATGATACAGCACTTTTCATCTGAGGAACATCTGAGTTTTACATACACCCCGTCAGGAAGTATGATCCTCATTTGCGTGAACTGAAACACAGAAGTTAAATGAGGTTCCCAAGGTCTCGGATAACATGTTAGTAGCAGTCACCTGGGGTGTGTTGTATAGTGCTTGGAGTAGGGTGCTAGGTTCTATTCCTGGAGGAGTTCCTGCTGTGCTTTGCCGCCATCATAATTCTATGTATTAATTTTGGCTCAAAGCCTGGCAGAGAACTTCAACCCTTCTTCCTTTGTAGAAAACAGAGGTTTTCAGGAACTCAGGGTAAATTTTTTCATAAGAGCATAAATCTCACTTTCAAAGTGACCTAGCACTTAGGAGCTTAAGTCCCATTAACTTTCAGTAAGACTCAAGACTCCTAAATGTCATTTTTGAAAATGGAACATAGGCTCCTGAGTGGTTATTGAACAAGTACAATTTTCAAGTCATCTTCTCTGTTACTGACTTTGGAGATACATCCATCCAGATTTCTAATTCTACCAGGAGGAACAGCAGAAGCTGTTATACCATTACTGTCCTACACTATCTGAAGTGGAATCTTAAACTTTAACTTTTACATGTGAAACCTTGCAGTTTAGGTGTTCCACATTTCCTTCTGAATCTGCACCTATTCCACTGCCTTTTTTTGTTTTGTAGGTGTATCTACCCTTTCGCATCCACTCCAAGATTCCCCACAACCAACACTTGCTTTCTTGCTGACTGACCCTCATCCACGCTCAGTCTCAGTATTTTTTCCTCTTTTTCAGCTACACTCTTTAACAATTATGAAGCACAGACAGGCAGTGCTGGCTTATTTCCATGGACCAGATTTTGGGCAACTCCTGTGTGGCTCCACAAAGAGAGGAGAAGGCTGCAAAGAGCTCTCTCCTTTTTTCAGGAGATGATCAAGATCCTGCTAGGAAGCAGAGCCTTTGTTCTCTCCCAGCACATGTGTGGGTGCTAGTTGCCTGAGAGTGTGGGGTAAGGCTGGGCTTCATACCACTATGTACTTGCCCATACAGCTGGCTGTGTACAGAGGAGGAGGTAGTATGCTGCATCTTCAATCGCGATAATGTGGTCTCAAAATATTTCTTGGGTGCCCCCAGGGAGAAATCTGATTTGCACAATGTAAATACTTTGGTGAGTAAGCCAGAGTTTCCAGAAGGAATCTCTATTATGACCTTAAGTTTTCCTGGTCAAAACAGTATGATTCAGGTGAGACAGCATCCCATAATGCCACTCTCCACTGTTGCACACAGATTTCAGTTTTGATGGCAACACTATTCACAGTGCAAGTGCTAAAAAATTGCCCTGGCTGAAAAAGGAAGCATTTTCCTTTATTTTGGAAAAAAAATAAGTAAAGTAGAAAATTGTTCTGTGTGTTCTTTGAGTGCAATATTTTGCACACCGCTCTGCTATTATAAGCTAGGCAAAGATACACTTTAGTGTCATTAAGTTATTTTGGGTTTACAAAAATAGCTACAGGAACGTAGCATTCCAATTTTGGGGGGAGGGCAGGCTTATTAGACGGAAAAGTGATTAAAGGTCTGTGGTATGCTCAAACCAGAGACATGCTGAAAATGAAAGCCCTGGCCTATTCCTCTTTTTACTTGCCCAATATTTAAGTGTAGGACACCTAATTTAAACATCTTGTAGATTAATGAGATTTACTTAAAACTACTGAAAAAGAACAGTATTGTATAATGATAATTTTAAAACAGTAATCCACGTCCCAGATTCTGTCAGCTGCTCCAGACAGACCCTCATCTATGTTCCATGAAGACCACAACGACTTTATTGTCTATTGATACAATTGTCACTAACCTGACTGCTTTGGGATGTTTTCCGTGATGATAACCAAGAACCAGCTCTCAGTCTTCCAATCTCTAGGTGCACTAGCCCTTGAGCACACTTGGAATATAACAACATATAATACACGGTATTTAAACAGGGTTACAATATTTCTGCTTTCCTAGACTTACTCACATATATTTTCAGGCCATAATGTTGAAGAAACCATTGAAAATTGAAACCTAAAACCTAATTTTTTATTCCATTTGTTTTATCTGAACAACGTAAAAGCCATCCATCCCAGATTCTAGGGACTTCATAGAAAATCTATTGATTTCAATTGGTCTTTTCCATTGACTGAATGACCCTTTGATCAGGAGCTAGATGCTCAGCCACCCATTACAAACCAGCAGCAAACCCCACCCTACCTGTCCAACGGAAAACAATTCATCAGCAGGAAAAATACTGTAAAACAGAATGAATCTGAATTTGACATAAGCAGATTCACTTTAATAACACATCCTCATACCCTTGCTTGCGGATTCCTAGATGGGCCAAATCCTTGCCCTCATGCAAAGCCTGAATAAAAGAACTTTGCACATGGAATCTGGAGGACAGAGACCTCTCCTCCCAACATAATTTCAGGTAGATGGCAGAGGTAGCAGGCTACAATAATTTTCCCTATGGCCAGAAATCGCATCCACAGTCTTCTGTCCCCTCCTACCCTAACACAGGCATTCTTTCCTTGGCCCATCCACAATGTCCTTTCCCACAGTCCCATGGAAAGTGTTGTGCATGTGTAGCAAAGGAGGGGGCAGAGTCTCCTTGAGCAGGCTTGTCCACGCCCTGGATGTATTTCTGGCCAGGATTTGTCCCCCAGTACTTCAGGGCAACAGCACCAACATGTGAGGAAAGCCTGGGCTTGAACAAATTTACACTGCAGTTCTATGGCTGCTAGGTTAGTGCCAGCAAAACCAAAAGCATCTCATTCCAATTCAGTTCCACAATTTTATGACTCTCAGCTTTCATAACATTTTCCCATTGCTTGAAATAAATGGTTACATTCTCAAATAAATGCCTAAAGTGATATCTGTATCTTCATTTTGCTACTATGTACTACATAAATATATATGAAGAGCTAAAACTAAATGAATCTCCCAATGTAATTTCCCTATCAAATTCCTATCTGTCTCGATAATCGGTTTCAGGTTGTCCAGGCTATGTGTAAATAGCACCCCAAGATAATTACCTTGTACACACTCAGTAACTGCAGTTTCATATCTAAGAATGTATTATGTACTCACCTTGAGGATAGTGGCAACAACCTCTTGTGAGGCATTCCTCATATCCTCCCCATTAACAGACAAGATCTGATCTCCTTGTATTAATCTCCCATCCAGGTCTGCAGCTCCTCCTTTAACAATGTCAGAAACAAACACTCCACTTCCATTTCTGATAATACAAGAAGCATATGGCTAATTACACAATCCACTAGTCTCTGTGAGTGCAATTCAGATTACATACATTTATGAGACATTAAAAGAAACTTCAAAAAAAGAAGAACAGGAGTACTTGTGGCACCTTAGAGACTAACAAATTTATTAGAGCATAAGCTTTCGTGGACTACAGCCCACTTCTTCGGATGCATAACCTAAAAGAAACTTGGGAGCTGAGAAAAACTAATTTTAGATTACACCTAACCTTCTGAGGTTAAGCTACAGATTTTAAACTCATTAAAATAGGAAACCATGCACTATTTCCCTTTCCCCTTGTGCTATTAGTTCTGGTGTGTACAATCTGTTCAGATAAGAAAAGCATATGCTACTGTAATATAAAAATACTGCCCAGACACCAAGGCACAATCTGCTAAGGATAGAGTTAGACTATCTCTTGATATGCTTGGTAAGAAGTGGCTTCACTATAGATTTTCCTTTTCCACACAGGGCCAAATGTTATCTCTTTACTGCAGCCTTGGAGTGCCCCAAGGCACAGAGAAGAGCACAGAGCACTCCACAGAGATTTTTGTAGCTTGCACGTGAATTTATGCACCCTGGGCAGCACAGAGCCCAGCTCTGTGGGACGTCCCAAGTACCTAGACTGTGAGGCTTGCAAGAGCAGGGTAGAGGTGGGTTAAAACACAAAGGGGACAAGACCAGTGGATCCACCAGCCACAGAACAAGGGAAAATTCCTTCCTCAGTCCCTAAAGAACTTCCTGGTACTTAGTTCAGCTACTTCAGCTTGGTGTGGAGGAAGTAAAGGGCCAAAGACAGGTGAATACTAACTTCTTTTATCCTGAAGGAACCTAAGTGCTTCACAAACAAAATGGTATATAATAATATTAATTATACACAGGGATAATTTAATCTACCACAGAAATTCAGCTAGCTCTGGAGGGAAATGCAACCGCGCCATAGGAGCACGTAGCAATACTACACAACAGTCTAGCATGAAGACAGTTGTGGGGAGGGCTGGAGAATACCATATCAGGTTTCAGGAAGTAGAATTAAATAACCTATATGAGAATCTGCTCACAACACCAGTATTAAACATCTCTTGTGAAAACTGCCATAGAATCCTTACTGACCACAAGCCGTTTGGATAACTACATGATGATTTTTTTTTTTTTGGCAGTAAGAAACAGCACTTGCTGTGAGTTTTACACACAGAGACTGATCAATGACTTTGCTTGTGCTATAAGTTTTCTCTAGCAATAAAAGATAAATTAATATACCACAGCTTTAGCATAAACAACTTTAAAAGAAATGCTTTAAAAATACATTAGTAAAAAGCTACTTTTACTTTTTAAGCAGCTATTATTGACTGTACCCTTTCTGACTCCACATTGTGTTCTTATTAGTATTTTATACTTAATGATTGTAGAGCTCTCCAACTAATCCTCAAAATAGTTCCAGGCAGTGGGTAGTAGTACTATCCACATTTTAAAGCTAGAAAAGCTAATCCAGGTAGGTTAGGACTTGCCAGCCGTCACAGACACAAGCAGAGTTGGGAATAAAACACAAGAGCGCTTAATTCTCAGTCCTATGTTTGCTCACTAGACCACACCCTTCGCAAACTGATATTCTTAGTAATATTATGTTATGCTACAAAATGCCAAATGCTAAGGGAAACAACAAATAGCCGTGGGAATAGTGTTGTTATATTACATACACGCCACTGTTATTTCTAGAGGAGTCTAAATCAACCCCCCAAAACCCCCACGGAGAAGTTCAGATTCTGACTTTTGTGGCTGGAGCCATTCTTTCTGTATTTCACATTGTATGTAACGGCTACAATTGTTCGTATGGCAAAATAAAGTCTCACTTGGAACGCAGTTGTGGTAAAACACAGAAGTTCTTACCGTTTTCCAACGATGCTTAGACCTAGTCCTCTCCCTGTTTTCTTTTGTAGATCTACATAGAAAATCTCCAAATTCTCTTCATCTTTATAATGAGCTTCATCTCTATAAACAACCAGTTGCACCTTTTGAGGTGTCTGTCTCAAGGCTGTGATAGCTTCTTCATGACTAGCATTCCTCAAATCAATGCCATTAACCTGGAATAACCATCAAACTGTTATTTTTCCTAATTACAGTTTGTGACGTTGTACTCTATATGATTTTATAAATATATGCTAATGAGTGAATATAATGTAACTGGAATATGCTTCATGCAACAGGTCTTTTGTAAGGTATTATTACAGAGCTTATAATCTACTGAATGTGATCATTCTATTTGTATAAATGTATCACTCTTGTATCTGAAACTAGAAATATGAAATATAACTCTGAGGGCCTATTGTAAATATGCAAAGTGTGGGCCATTAATGGTGGTTTGGAATCTTGATGGCTTCCATCAACCAGGACAACTGACTGTGGATGGCTCTGTTTGCAGGAAAGCCTTCCTGTAAGTCAGGCTGGGAGGAATGAAGTCTTGCAGTGACATGTGATCATGTCATGTGAACTGGAATCCATCTTTAACCTGGTGTCTTTCCATTGAGAAGGAGGGGGTGGGAACCCAGAAAGGGACAAAGGATTTCCACCTTATGCAAAAGATATATAAATGGGTGGAACAGAACAAAGGTGAGAGCCATTATGAAGAATCCCCTAGCTACTACCTGAGCTGGAACAAGAGCTGTACCAGGGGGAAGAATTGTGCCCAGGCCTGGAAGGTGTCCAGTCTGAGAAAAAAAACTTGCTGAGGCATCTCTAAGGGTGAGAATATCTGTATTCAGTTTGATTAGACATAAATTTGTGTTGTGTTTTATTTTATTTTGCTTGGTGACTTACTTTGTTCTGTCTGTTACTACTTGGAACCACTTAAATCCTACTTTCTGTATTTAATAAAATTACTTTTTACGTATTAATTAACTCAGAGTATGTGTTAATACCTGGGTGGGCAAACAGCTGTGCATATTTCTCTATCAGTATTATAGAGGGCGAACAATTTATGAGTTTACCTTGCATAAGCTTTATACAGGGCAAAACGGATTTATTTGGGTTTAGACCCCATTGGGAGTCGGGCATCTGAGTGTTAAAGACAGGAACACTTCTGTAAGTTGCTTTCAGTTAAGCCTGCAGCTGTTAGGGGACGTGATTCAGACCTGGGTCTGGGTTTGCAGGAGGCTAGCGGGTCTGGCTCAAACCAGGCAGGGCACTGAAGTCCTAAGCTGACAGGGCAGGAAAGCAGGGGCAGAAGTAGTCTTGGCACATCAGTTGGCCGCTTCCAAGGGGGGTTCTGTGATCCAACCCGTCACACAGTTATTAATGAGCTTTACATCCCCACAGTATCTGAGCCCCTCACAAACATTAATGTATTTATCCCTGTAACAGCACTGTGTGGCAGGGAAGTATTCTTACTCCATTTTACAGAGAGGGAAAGTGAGGCACAGAGCAAGAAATTGGCTTGCCCAGTCGCACAGGAAATCTGTGGCAGAGGCAGGAACTGGACCCAGATTGCCTGGGTCCCAATCTAGTGCCTTAACCACAACACCATCCATCTATCTACTGTATATTAGCCATTCTTACATTACCTTATGGTTTACCAATTTGACATGGTTGATTATTGACCTTGTGTATTTCAGTTATGACAACGCTGTTTTTAAAGTACTGCACAGCAAACCAGGGCATTCCTTTCTTGGAAAATATGGGTGCAATAACATCATAAAGAGTACTGTATAATAATTCCCAATGTAATCTAAAACCTTTTCAGTAGGTTCTAACTTGAGGCTTGATCTCTCAGTCCTTACGCAGGCAAAATTCCTATCGACTAAAACTGACTGCAAGATATGTGGTATTCAGTGATTTGGTATTTGCAGATATCTGCCCACTGCCTTTATCAACAGAGGTGAATAAAGAAGCCAGCTAGCGAAAAGCAAACGAGAATCAAATCGACATTTTAGTTTGTCACCTCTCATCTTGAGTGGAGGTGACTGGTATAGGCCACTGTGGGAAAACTCACACTTGCAGATATCCATAGACAAAAACCCAGCACCTACCATAACTTCAGGCCAAAATTTTCAAACTTGAGAGTGCCGAGGCACTTCAACTTAGTGGCCTGAACTTCTGAGGTGCTGAGCACCATTTTCTGATGACCAATGCTTCTACAGTGCCAAGCTTTACACATTGCACTGCGAGCTTTCCTACGATGCCTTATACTGGGTCACTTCAACTTGAAGTGAGATGTACTTTTTATGGTAACTCTGTCCTGGCCTCTCCTGATCAGAAAGCGGTCAGCTGGTGGCTTTGTAGTGTTCACTCTTGTCTACTGAACAATGGGGAGAAACGACCAAACTCAATTCATTTACATTCATAAAGCTACTTCCAACTCCCAGTATCAGAGGTGAAAGTGTTATCTTTCTCCTCTGCACATTATACATTTCTGTTGCTTTTTCTTTGCTGGTATGAATGCTTAGATTCCCCCTCCTCCCAAAATCACAATGCTGAAGAACAGAAAAAATAAGGAAAAAATTAAGTGCTGGCTGGAAACCAGATCTTCTCATCTGTGGTAAGAGAGCATTATTTTCTCTAATTCTCATTAGTAGATTCACTATCTTCAAATGTAAACTTACAGAAAAGTTAGGAAGTGACAATATTTTAGCTTTAAAGAGGTAGCTATTAGATGATTATTGTGCTTTGTTCCAATAGATGGCACACAAGACCACTACAGAAGCTCTCAGTTAAGCTTCTCGACCTAATCTGAAAGCATTATAGGTTAGTAAATTCAGATTGAGTTTGAATGGTGCAATGGGTCTGAGCAAATTTAGAAGTATTCAAAAAGTACTGAAACTTGGAATTCTGATTCCAGATCTAGCCAAACATAGTATCTGTATCAATATCCTTTAAAGTAGGCTTTGCAGAATTCAATTTTTATTTTTGCATAATGTCAATCGATACCAATGTTTATTTTTAAACTTCTTTTAAATTATCAATTTAAATTTTCACAGTTGTACAAAATTATGAGTTTTAAAGCATCCCCCCCTCCCCAATTTTTATCCATTTAAATTTTCACAGATGCAGGAAAATATGGGGGTGGGGGTGAGTGAGAGAGAGAAAATAATTATTTAATGACAGTAGATGCTGAGATTCAAAGTGTTAAAGCTTTATACATGTTAATACACAAATTGTCAACTTCACATGTCAAATTATACAAAGTAAATATCCTTAAATCAAACTCTAATAAATTCTCAAGCAGCATTTTTGTTACTTTGCCCATCTGTAAATTTCGATTACCATCAATGGAAATATTCTTTTCTTGGTTTGTGTGTGTATGGTGAAATTGACATTTACAGATAAAAATCTAATCCTTCAAACTTACTTTAAGCCAACTTCAGATTATTTGCTCTGTGCATTCATTTATTTGTCATATATTAAAAAAATTCTAGTGTGTCAAAATTTAAAAGTTTAATAGGGAAGCTGAAACAGTAATTGTATAAAAGTATAATACAGTAATTGTAGAATGTAATACTGACACAAATACAATAGTGTATATTTTTATAAGTTACTATGCAGGGAAAAGGTCAGTTCTTTGTACTCTTAATCATATCATAGTCATATATTAATCATAAAATACACTAAGTTCATTAATTCTAAATCGGACGCATACATTTATGAATATGCTATACATCCCTATATTTTTCTTTACACATATATGTCTACACATGTTGTACATTTGCCTCATTAGGGCAGTTTTAAAGGTTACAATTCATACAAACATTATGGCATACACACATTTGCACCTTCCTGCATGGTCAGTGAAGAATTTATTAACCTTCTGCATTTTTATCACATGGTTAATAATCATATGTTGTTCAGACACAGTTGTTTATAAAACGAAAATAAATATAGCCTTAACATTAAAAAAATATTTTCTGTGCAAGAGTTGTAAAAACAACTCCCCAAGTGCCCCTCACTATTTTTCTAACCCCATGCACTACAGCAAAATGGGTGTGCTGGGAATTTGTCCTGATCTGACAGCGAGACACTAAAAACAGCTGTACTAGAACCACCAGAGCCTGTCTCAAGTCTAATTTGCAGTCAACAACATCCCTCTCTTAACCCTCTCCTCTCTAGATTTCCATATATTTGAATTTCCAATTGTCTCTAACAATTATGGTGTCAGTCTTTTTGTTACATTAAGGTACAAATAAAATTGTTCTGGTGACCATATGCATATATAGAACTAGTCAATCAAATTACTCTAATTATATAAGCAAAATACAAGCCTAAAGGTTTTACACCACAGACTAAGCTCCATAGATCAGCCTGCATGAATAGTTTGGAATGACTCTGCAGTCACCCACTTATTTGCACAATATCCTGCAAAGCTCAGCTTTTATGCCCATGTATAGTTACAGACAATACATTAAAAAATAAACCATAAACACTATTTTTCTCAGTATAATGCTTTAAAAGACTCTGGGGTCCAGATAAAATATCAAGCTTATAAGAAGGGTAGTAAAAACGGTACACCTTTATAATTATGTTGATTATTGATGAAACATACACACTTACGATTATTAATCTGTTGAAGATGCTGACCAGAATTGAAATGACATGCTCTACATATATATTGCAGAACATAAAAGCATAACAAAGGTACTAAAGGTTACACTATAAAGCAGACTTCTAAATAAAAGATTAAACAGATGGATGATTCTTAACTATTGTACATGACATTGATGTAATTCAAAAACTATCTTGTCTGATAAAATGTAATATATTCTCAAACTATAATTGGTAGTTTGTGAAATATTATTTCCTGGGATTTTCTTATTGGTAAAAAAGACTTCATGAACATAGTGTAACTGGTGTCTTCATTACAAGTATCAGAATCTACTAAATGGTTAGAGTGGTCCTCTGAAGAAAGCAATTTTGGATTAAATACAAAGCTATTTAAATAGGCGTCATAATTAATTTACCTCAAGAATCTGATCACCAGCCCAGAGTCGACCATCTCTAGCTGCTGCCCCTTCTTCATAAACTTCATGGATAACTATGGCATCCTGTAGAAACAAAATTTTCTGCATTAATTCTCATCCATTGCAAAAGTTTCTTAAAATTGATAGTTACTCATCCACATCACACAGTATATAACTGAGATAACCACCATATTCAAAAGACACAGCATTCCATGATTTAGTTGATGTGAAGACAAGTAAGGCTGTGCTACAGATTATAAGAAAATTATTACACCCATTCATCTGCTATCATCTACATTTTGGTTAAAAATATTTTGCTCACCACTTCAGAGTAGTACTTCTGACTAGGTTTCTATCATTTTTATACATTGGCATCAGCAATATATGAACTCTACCTGAACTGGTGCATTAATATCATTTACTTTTTATGACATACTTTAAAACCAGACTTTTCAGAGTTATGAGTATTTTTAAGGGTTTGGCATAGATGCTCAACATTAGGCAGGAACTTGATGCGTGTGGTGAATAGGGTGGTTAGATCTGCAAGAAATGAAATCCAGAAGAAATGAACAATGGTAAATACTAGTTTATTACTGAGGTTGGAAACTGTTGGCAGTGGCTGATGTAGTTCAGGGAAGGTTTCAGTGATACACTCTTATTGCCAGCAGTAGATGTCCCACAGAAAAAGCATTACAAAGAGCATTTTCTTATTTTGCTAGTGCTTTCTTTTTGCATCGTTTCCCTTCACCCCCAATACCCCACTGCAGTATTTCTTAGGCCACAGTTCTGACAACTGGCCTCATCATCAAAAAAGATATGCCATTTTATAGTGTATTTATAACTTTTCTTCATTCCTTGTCCTCTCCAAACACTGAAACACAAAGAATCATTGGCTGCAACAATGCAGCCGATAATCATGTGTAGTGATCTCAGGTCTGAGGGTATCAGATACTCATCTCTTGAGTAGATGAGACCTACAAACATGTTATAGTTTCAGAGTCCCTTTATCAGCCCAATATATTATGAACAAACAGTCTTTCTCCAGGCTTTGTAGCACAAGGCTGTAAGGTAGTAAAGTGCAGACCCTGCTTTGCAGTCCCTTCCTGACTGCATATAAGTAGGAAACAGCTGCTGCTGGTAGCATATAAAGTGTGTTCATGTTTTTAAAAACATTTTTAGATGCTGCATATATACATCACTCATCGCAAGGTTACATGACAAGAGAAAAGTATCTTTGTGTGATACTTTATTGGCGCACGTGGTGTAACCTGAACAAAGAGGGGGGGAAATCAAATGTCCAAAGGCTAATCCTGTGATAAAGAAAACGTCCAGAAGCTTCCTCCATTTTAGTCCCACTACTGCTTGTTTTAATGATGTAGACTTGTATTTACAACTACTCTGCTCTTATTGAAGCACAGCATCATTATCGAACTCTGTTCTCTGATAAATATACACCATTTATCCAGAGCAAAACTGGCAGGGCAGGGGACAGTTATCACAAATGGATTACAGCTGATATAAATATCCCTGATGCAAAAAAAAAAAAACGGGGGGGGGGGGAAGAAGATTTCATTCTGCATAAAGGAATGCAAAATACTATGAGCTATGTAATAAGTAACAGAGATAATTAAGAAATCAAAAGAACAGATCAATTTAAGGAACAATACCAACGGTAACTGCAGGGTTTTGTAGAAATAATGTAAGCAGCTGCCACCAAAAGAACTAAGTGACAACAAATTCATTTACGTTTAGGCAGTCAACGCCTCATGCGTCAAAACCCCATGCTACTCCAATGTCAATCTTTTTTGCCCTCCAGGTTTTACATCTTCTTTAAAAAAATGAAAGATCACGTTAAATTGCTGGGTGCTGGGGCTTTTCATCTTGCTGAAGCTCCTGGGATGATGCTGACAAACATATTCTAATCTGAAGTTAGTCATGGGTATCAGCAATGAGTTTTGATTAACCTCAGATGCAAACTGGTGCATTGGGGCAGTAGAACCAAGACAAGGTATGCAAGATTTGAGAAGAGTCCAGTCCTTCACATTTCTATCAGTTCTACTTGAAATAGCAGACTCAGCACATGGCACATGTTAGGAAAAGTCAGCAGAGACTTGTGAGTCTGCAGTACACAGCAACAGGTACTGTGTACTTTTAGAGCTGGCTGGGAATTTTTCAAGGAACTTTATAAAAAAAAAAATCCTGAAAATGAACCAAAACTATTTGCAGGGAAGGTTCGTTGAGATGTTCAGATTAATCATTTTTAAAAGGTCAAAAATCAAACGAATGACCTGATCTGAAGATATTGCTGCTGCTGCTATTTTGAGATGTTTATGTCATGAAAAATTTTGAGATTTTGATATATATATATTTTTTTGTCCTGAGTTAGGACAGAGAATTTTTTCAAAATACCAAAATTCTCATGGGATGGGAAAACTGTTTCCCACCCAACTCTACTCGGACACAGAGGAGCAAATAGTAGGAAGGTGTACAGCAGATACACAGTACAAGATATGCAGTATGGGCAAGGAGTTGAAACTCAGAGTTCTGAATACAATTTTTCCTGTTACCATGCAATAGCACAGTACGAGCACTTACAATCCTAATCAGGATTAGGCCTCAGTGCCCTGGGCATCGTACAAATACATGGATAAACACACTTTGTATCTGGAGAGCTGATTTAAGGATTGGAGATAAACCTGTATAAAACACTTCCATTATCACAATTTTAAATAAATACTTCATTAGAAACTTTGAATACTCCGTTTCTTTACAGGTTATTCCACAGTGCCTGTAGTGTGAAGTACTTTCTAACTTAAATAAGCCTTGTTATAGATGGATGGTAGTGTTACCTGGAGCTTAGTTTGCCTAACAATTTCCATTGTAAGACCCTGTATTTAATTCCTTTTATGTAGTTTTTGTGCGTGTGATCAATCTAATGGCAGCATTCACAGCTCCTTCTAAAACCAGCTAGCCCAGTCAGTTACCAACCTTCCCCAATATTATTTAGTACATACAAATCTCCAGATACTTAAAAACACTACTGATGTCACCCTCTTTCTTGAAGGCTTAGATTCAGGAAATGTCAAAAACTATTAGCCTGAATCACTTACATTCATTATTTGAGAAAGCAGTTGGTTCCCCATTAAACTGGTGTCCTTGCACATGTTAGAAATTTAAGTGGGCTATATAGTCACAATTTATATACTGTAATAAAAGGAACGCTGTTGTCATTGCTACACTTATTCTGATAAAGAACATTTCTAGATTTAAAAAATGCATTTGACCTGCCAAAGTCTTATTTTTCTTACATAGTCTTAGCCAGATGATTTTAATCAGACTTGTCAAGTAGATGCAAACAACTTGAACCAATGGATGCTGATTGCACAGTCAAGATTTTAAAACAGCACTAAGAAAGAAAGAAAGAGACTGATCTTAACTTACAGTTCTAAACAAACAGTAATCCTTCCTCCTATTGTTTCTGGGTTTGGTCCAAAGTATATTGAACTCTATGGTAGTCTTCCATTGTCTTCAATGGACTTTGGATCAGGCCTTATATGCATAGGGTATTATATTATACTGTTTTGAACATACATGTACAATTATCAAAAAACATATAAGTTACAGTTAGGGATTCTTAGTGGCACTATTATAGTTAATATTTAAAAAGCTGCTTACATATTATATGCATGCTATATAGGTGTCTTATGTCCTGTCTTGGTCTTGTGCACTATCCTAGTCTAGCCATCCAACAACTGAATGGCAATCTGTAATGATTCCATCAATGTACAAAGATATCATGGTTATCTTGGGGGTCCCAAGGACAGAAGCCATGATCTATGGATACCAAAACAAAAACCACATCTACTGAAAGAGAACATCTACCAAAGGAGAATGTCAACTTGCTTTTAGTCAGACCTTTAAACTTCTGAGGGCCGGCCAGCCGAAGGCAGTATACTGCAGCAATGCATTTATTTTCTGATTGTGCTCTCTTATATTTATAAAGGAACATATGTGACTATACACATATATTTTTGATCTGCACTATTTTCTTCAAAACAATCTGCATCAGGGCCGTCTCTAACTTTTTTTGCTGCTCCAAGCAGCAAAAAAAAGCGCCGCCCC